GGGCAAACCCCACACCAAAAAAATAGTGCCGACATGAGTCCAATCAAATAATGGAGTTAAAAAAGAAGAATAAAGACTTAAATCTAAAGAATAATAGAGTGGGCAGTCGAAGATAGCGTTGTAGGTCGTCAATGGCTTCTATATTCTCTATTCATCTTTGGAGAATTTGAATACAGGTCTCGAGATTAAGACCATGCACAAAAATCTTATGTTCAACTTGTCTCAGACATTTGTGAAAAGAATATTAATTGAATTCCCCGTGTTTATGAGTGTTTCAAATTGATTAGTTTGATATTAACACAATCACTATAATGACATTTTCATAAGAATTTCCTTTGATGGGTAAAATCCAACATCTCTAATTCTAGCGACAAAGATAACACTTGTGCTCTTAGTGTTGAAGAGTATTAGAATTCTAGTGGAAAGCATAGTCAAAGCTTATGTTTTTCATTTAAAAAGTCACAAAGAGTTTTTGTACACTGAATACATACATAGAAAATAAATTTAGATCAGTTATGAAGGAAGCGGTTAGATGGATCGGTTGTAAGCCAATGGTCCAGATGATGCTACGTGTGATTTGCAGATGAAGTGGAACAGAGATTCACAACAGATATCATTGCATCCCCTGTCAAGCTAGAAGTCTTGTTAGAGAGTGTCAGCTTGCATTGCATTTGCTGAAACCTAGAGTTGGGGAGTATTTTTATAAGTAAATCGACAAGCTAGTCTTGAGTACTGATGTGGTGGATGGTGAGGTGAGCTCACTTGATGCAATCTTGAATGAAGTGATAGTCGACCTTGATGTGTTTGGTGTGTGGAAGAGTAGATTGTTTGCAAGGGCAATGACGGAAGTGTTGACACAATAGAGTATCATCGGTCAAGTTTGCAATGTACAAAGATATGTAATAAATCATCGAAGCCATATGATATCCGCTGTGGCAGAGGCAAGGGCTCCATATTCTATTTCAATGTACAAGTGTGCAATGGTGACTTGTTTTTTTTTTTTTTTTTTTTTTTTTTTTGAACAAAGAGATGGGAGTTCGTCCAAGAAATGCACAATAGCCAGAGGTGGATTTACAATCGGCGGGATTTCTTTCCCAGTCAGAGTCTCTGTAGGCCTTAAGAGTTAGGTGAGAGCAGTAAATAGGAAGGCCATGAGATTTTGTGGAATTGATGCAGCAGCAGATGCATTTGAGCTAGATGAAGTCATGTTTGGTGGGTGTCGCATGTGTTAGGAGGCAAGATTGACTGCATAGGATATGTCAGAGCAGGCGAGTGTGAGATGTTGGAGAGAGCTGACAAGTTGGTGGTATAAAGTGGGGTTTGGCATAGGAGTGAGGTCAACAAGTACGGTGGATGGTTTGGAGGAGCATGGATTTTTTACTGGTTTGGAGTTGGACATGCCGACGGTTGAGAGAATATTGGCTGCATAGTTGGTTTGAGAAAGATGTAAGCTATAGGATGTTGGAGTAGCTTTGATACTAAGGAAGAGAGGTCTGAACTAAGCTTGGAGTTTTTGGATTGTAGATTGGATGAGAGAGGGACTATTGCCAATGAGAAGGATTTCTTGTACATAAATGAGGATGTAGAGATTATCAGAGTTGTTGTGTAGACAAAAAAGGGAAGGATTGACAAAGTGGGGTCGAAAATGAAGAGTTTCAAGGTAGGTGGATAGAGTGGTGAATCATTGATGTAGGGCTTCTTTGAGGTCGTAGAGGGATTTTTTAAGTAGACAATCATCGTTGGATGGGTTGCATCAATGAAGCCTTGAGGTTGCAACATGTAGATGGTTTTGATGAGATGAAAAGCATTGGAGATGTCAAGTTGGAGAACTGTTAGTTGGGATTAGACTTATGGTGATCAAAGCAAAAATGGTAGGTAGTTTGGCTATGAGACTAAATGTTTTGTTTTTAATCAAAACCATATTGGTGCTTATAGCCTTGAGCCACTAAGCAGGCTTTGTAGTGATAGACGGAGCCATGCACATTGAATTTGGTGTAGAATTTCCATTTGAAACATATGATGTTTTGGTGCAGGGATGGGGGAATGAGGGATCACGCACCTTAAGATTGGAGAGCTTGAAATTTGGTGGACATGGCTTTTTGCTAGTGAGGGTGTTTGATAGCAGAGGAAAAACAAGTGGGTTCAGATTCAAATTGATGGGTGGGGTTGAGTATTTGTCGTTGTTTGAGTGAACCAGTTTTGAGGCGAGTTTGCATCAGTTGAGTTAGTGCATTTGGGAGGGGTATGAGGGAGGGTGGATGGTAGGTATGGGAAGGGATGGGCTGTATAAAGAGAGAATGGTTTGGGAGAGTGTATGTTGTGGTTGTTGTGGAACAGGGGAGGTAATGTGTTGAGGTGGAGTTGTTAGTGTGGTGGGGGAAATGAGGAGAAATGGCAGTAGAAGAAGGGAAGTGGGTGGACATGATTTGGTGATGTTTGGTTTTTGAGAGAAGGGAGATTTTTTCATTGTAGAGGACTGGTGAAATATGTAGATGCAATTGGAACAGGGATCAAGAAAATGATATCATTTTTGTAGAGGAGCGCAGCCTATGAAGACGTATGGGGTAGAGCGGGGGGAGAGCTTTTGTTTGGTATAGGGCTTGATCCAAGGATAGCAGAGAGAACCAAATATTTTAAGATGGTTGTAGGATGGAGGAGGAAGGTGGATTAGTTTGTAGGGTGATTTGAGATAGGTGGTGGGTGATCGAATGTTGTTAATTAGGTAGCGGTGGTGATGAGTGTTTCGGCCCATAGATGACAAGGAAGAGAGGTGTTTACCATGAGAGTACGAACTGTCTTAATGAGATAACAGTGTCCGCGCTCTGCAATGTCATTTTTTTTGGGGGTCTATGAGCACGTGTGTTGGTGAATGATGTCAAATTCTTTAAGGCGGTGTTGGAGAGTATGATTAAGGAGTTCTCTGCCACTATTGGTGTGAAGGGTCACAATATTACAGGGCAATTGATTTCAACCATAGCTTTTAATTCGAGAAATTTATTAGTGGTGTCAAGTTTGTTATGATGTAGGTAAATCCAAATGTAGTGAGTGTAGTCATCAACGAAGACCAAGTAATATTCATAAGCTTGTAAAGATAAGGTGGGGGAAGGTCCCCATACATCGCTATTTATAAAGTTCTAAAGGTAAGAGGACTTCGTAGAGGAGATAGTGAAAGATAACTTGTGGCTCTTAGCTACTTTGCAATAATTACAATGTAAGGATTTATAAGAGATACATAAAGAGGGAAGCCTTGATACGTTGATTGATTGCATACGAGGTGATGGATGATCGAGTCGTTTGTGTCATTGTTGCGGAATGTGTTGCACTGAGAGAAAAACAAGTTGTGTTTATGGTTGCTTTGTAATTGAAGAAGTGACCAGGTGGAGTCCTCGAAATACATGGTCCTTTAAGTATGGGGTGGTTTGTCTTGGGATCAATGATGTGATAGCCATCAGAGGTGAAAGAAATGGAGCAAGAGTTAGTGTTGGTTAATTTATGAACAAAGAGGAGGTTATAAGCTAAATTGGGAATGTAGAGGAGCTTTAGTAGATGAAGTTTATTCAGAGGGGTAGGCCGGAGTACTTGATCAATTGGTGCGATGAGAAGTTTGTCACCATTTCTGACAATGATTGTATTGTCTCCATGATAGTTGTGAGCATTTGGAAGTTGGGTCGGATCTGTGATAAGATGCTCGATTGCGCCCCTATCGAGGTACCATCGACCATATGTTGAGTTGGAGTTGGAGGTGACCAAAGCGGTTGGAGTTTGGTAGGATTTGTCACTATGAAACCAACACTTGAATGCTTCATGGCCGATTTTGCGACAAATTTGGAAGTGGGTGGAATTTTTTTAGGGAGGGAGGAGGTGGTGTTACCTTGGTTGAACTGAGAGGATGAGCTAGTGCATTTGCCTTTGTAGTTGTAGGAGGGGTTGTGGTTTCTTCCTCGGTCTCGAGTAGTAGTGAGAGTAGTAGAGGATATGGATTTTTTGGCAGTTTTGGCGGAGAGATTAATTTCCTTGCTGAACAGTAG